TTGATTTAAGGAATGTTTGGACAATTTTACACTAGTGGCCTTCAGAGCTGTGCATCGTATCATTTTTTCTCATTCCAGTTTGAAAAAAAAAATAACTTGCTGTTTTGACTCTGTTTTAGACAACTTTTGGTATTTTGTTTTTATGATATAATATGCAAATGTATTCTTACTTGATTTTTTTTTAAGTTTTTGTCTTTTTAATTGCACCAGTTATTAATAAAGTAATAAACTGAACATAAAACCTGTGCTTTAAGTTTTTTCTATAAATAAAAATGTTTCTGTTGTTGCATTTCATTGGCATTAAATGTATAATTTATTTTGATGTCATACGGCAAACTTTGTCTATAGACTACAATACTCTTTCTGCTGTGTCCTGTTTAGCCAATATAGTTCTGGGACATCGAAAGGAATAAAGGGAGAGAGAAAGAGATAGAGACGGTAAAAAGGGAGGGGTAGATTAAAAGAGAGAAAACAAAACAGAAAACATAAAGGACACAGAAGAACTCCAGCCTCCTTGAAGTCTGCTTCTGTATCCTACCTGCATGTGACTAGAGTGAAAAAAAACAGAGGGCATAAAAACAACAAAAAAAGACAACAGACAACCAGAGTAAACATCAAAATATCTTTCAGAGCAGTAGGTATCCCTCAGATATCTAATCAGTATATATTGATTGATATATTTATACATGAGCATGCTCATGTATAAACATTTTATGCCATGAAGAGTGGACAGATGGAGCCAGTATTCAAGGAGAGACAGTCAGTAGGAAAGATCACAACGTTTATTAAAATAAAACAAAAACTGAAGTGGAGCTGAGGCTCACGGACACTGCAGGAGGGGGGCGGGGCACCGCCCAATCTCAGACACTCTACGTGAGAAACACACGATCATCTGACAGAAGGTGATTATCTGAGTTGGCCACTTACCTGGTTTACAGTCCAGGGCTGCAGTCCCAGTGGACATGCTGGAAGCTGATCCTGGTCAGGGATCCAGAACAGACAGGAACAGGATCCAGATCAGCCAGGAACAGAACAGGTGGCAGGATCCAGACTTCTAGGCATCCACCATCTCCCAGGAGGGTTCAGAGTCTGACTGGGACCAGAAACATGAGCAGGTGGTCACGGAGCAGACAGGATCAGGTGCAGATGAGCAGGCTCACTGGAAGAGGGTAGCCGAGACAGGACTTGGAACCAGAACTTGATGCAGGACTTTAAACGGGTCTCCTCCCTGGAGCCAGGCTTACTGGAATAAAAACTGAACCTCCCCACATATAGAGCCAAAAACCCAGAAGACTCTGTGGGGGAGGAACAGTGGACGATCAGGAGACGAGACAAACACAAAATCCCTCTTTCCACTGGCTGCCAGGATCCAGGGCATGAACCAAGGCAAAAACTGAACAGACAAACTAACAAAAAGACAAGTACTGATCTGGCACTGAATGCTCAGGCTGAACTGAATATAACCAGCCGGAAACAGGTGAGGGGAATAAATTGTAATTGAGGCAGGGAGGGAAAACGACAGGTGAAAGGAATGACTAAGGGAGGGCAAACAGGCCAGATCATGACATTTTATGCTCAATAGCAGGTGTGGGCAGCCCAAGAAACGCCCCACAGGGCCCAAGACCCACAAAGAGGCGACCAGAGCCCCAGATATCCAAAGGCACCCCAATTCACTGGGACAAGGAGAGCAGACATAGGGATAGCCGCACTCACCAGATAAGGGCAGACAAGAGCAACCCAACCCCAGGGGGCCCAGTCCTTGAGGGAGCCAACCTCGGAGGCCACAGTACTGAGCACCAATGAGGTCGTGGTAGTGAGCCCATGGGCTCCTTCTATGGCCAAGGTGTACCCAGATGAGAGATAGGGGGCCTAGGCCCAGGGGCACACATTCCGTGGTGGAGACCATACAGGGTCAGAAGGCCTAGGCCCTGACCAGATACCACGAGGAATGAGAAGGCATCCAACGAAATACTCAGCCCCGCACCTAAAGAAACATCAGCGCACCAGCAAACACAGGCCCCTCTCAGAATCAGAAATACTTTAATAATCCCAGAGGGAAATTACTCACCTGCGGGGAGCATAGGAAGGCCAAGGAGACGTTCATAATTTGGGCCTATAATGTTTCAATAGGTGGGAAGGGAGGCAACACTCAACCTGATAAGTAGACAAAGACAAATTCACATGGATCCAGTCACATTCACACAATCCCAACCTATCACCCTAATATATACAAGCACTAAACAGAAATTCTCAAAGGGGCAGACGCTAAACATGTCATGGTTGGTTTAGGAAATAAACCCACATGCAGAAAACCACTGGAGACTGGGTAAAAGTTCAACAGAGTTTATTAAGATTTGTACAAGAAAATATGAACTGGATTCTGGAAACAGGTCCGGGCAGGATTCTCAGGCGTCTGCAGAGACGGATAGTTTGATTAGCCAGATTTACTGATTAGTAGTTGAGTTTGCTGATATTTCTGAAAATACCTTGACAAGATTCAGGCTTTCTTCTCTGAGAGAGGGAACCGGTTGGGTCCAGAGACTGTTGGTTCAGCAGAGTGCTCAGCAGCTGCAGCGTCTGGCTTCTTCTGACTGTTAGTGTCAGACCTTGGTTTGAGTGATAAGCTCTTTCCCAGAGAGCAGCAGGTGGATTCCAGAGTGAGATCTTCAGGTTTGGCTCTCTAGGGCAGGCAGGGAGGTAACAGGCTAAGCTTCACACGAGAGACAGGCTTCCAAACTTGGTCAACACTGCGGCGTTGAAGGAAGGTCTGACAGCTGCTTATATAGGCAGGTCTCCTGATGGGCTGATGAGCGTCAGCTGTGCTGGAGGGCTCCAGCCCAGGAGATCCACAGCGCACACTGCTGGAGAAGGTGGAGAATCTCCAGATCCCAACAAAACATACTCTTACGCTCCTCATGCATACACTATACTCCAGGTCTAGGGTCCAGTCCCTGTGGGGGAACAAGCCCACAGTGTAAGAAGGGGGCAGTCAGCTGGAGCTGTAAAGAAAAAAGGTCTGGGACCGGGCACCACCTGAGCGTGGAGAACATCAGTTTAGCCAGTGTCTATAGCCCCAAACACTGCCCAAGACCCACCCTCTGTGAGGGAACCCCCAAATGGCATTGACCACAGCCTCTCCACAGCATCCCCACCTATGTAAACTGCACATTCACTACCACGGACGCTAAAGCTGATAGCAAACCTGTTGAAGCACCGAACTCGCCCTAGCCAGTCAACAAAGTTCCTGGCCCCCACATCCAATTGAACCTCTGATACCCAAGGTTGCAAGGGAATTGCAACCCAGCCCTGCCCCTCTTGACCAAGCAGCCAGATGCATCCACACACTGTGGTTGTATCCCAACAGACGTACAGCTAGGACCAGGCCAAACCCTCCAACATCCTAGATGCCCCTTCCTTCAAGAACTTAGATAACACTTTCTCCAACTTTCCCAAAACTAAAGGACTGCTTTTCAGTAATACTCAGGTTGCAATAATAATAAGGGTGAGCAGTGGGCTGGCATCATGGGGCACCTGGGAAGCAGTGTGGGTTTAAGGGTGTTGCTCAGAGACCCAGAGTGGCAGCTCTAGACCAGGGGTGTCAAAGTCCTTCCAGAAAGGGCCGTGTGGCTGCTGGTTTTCTTTCCACCCAAGCAGTAGCACGCCAGAATCCCATCAAGTCATCAGGTTAAGACTAGACTCACCTTGATGAGATAAATGGAGTCTGGTGTGCTACTGCTTGGGTGGAAAGAAAACCAGCAGACACACGGCCCTTTCTGGAACGACTTTGACACCTGTGCTCTAGACCCTAACCACTAGGCTGCCAATCCCAAATCCAATTGTACTCTCCTCAAGGGGTTTATGTTTCAGGAAGTTTCAATCTTTTTTGTGGAGATCATTTTCTATCCCAGTTGTTCTAAGACAAAGGAAGCTACAGATTGAATCATGCCCAGGATCCAATCTTTACCTTTAGGTTAACTTAAAAAGCATATGAGTTACTTTTTAAAGTAGCCATGGAACTTGCAAGATATTTCTCTGTGACTTGGATAACCTTTCTAATTTATCAAGTATTTGCTGTGCCATAAGCCATGATCTTATTTTTTTTTATATAAAGTATATTGTAACAAAAAAAAACATTATCTCTTCCTACAAAGTGAGGAGCCGAAAGGGGCAGTCTAAACGATGAAATTCATTCAAAATTCATCCCCAGAATTTTGCTTTGGTCAAAACTGATATTTTTACACTGAAGTCAAAAAAATATAATTTTTTAAATCATTTTTAAGAAACTAATTACAATCAGCTGGTTAACAAAAGTTGACTGTAACACTGTCTCATTAGAAACTTGCTAAAGTTACTTCAGAAAGCCCTTTTTTTATATTGTTATACTGTAAATAAATTCAAATATATTACATGCATTTTTAATTCCTGTGTGCTTGTTTAATGTAAATTCACTCTATTGTAGAAAAAAGGTCAAGTACATGAAAAACAATGCAGACTGAAGCGTTTGTTAGCTCAGTGTTTACCTAGTCAACATGCCATCCTCTAAAGCAGGGGTGTCAAAGTGGTTCCAGAAAGGGCCGTGTGGCTGCAGGTTTTCTTTCCAACCAAGCAATAGCACACCAGACTCCAGTCATCTCATCACGTTATCATGTTCAGATTGGACTCACTTGATGAGATGACTGGGGTCTGGTGTTTTATTGCTTGGTTTGAAAGAAAACCTGCAGCCACACGGCCCTGTCTCAAACCACTTTGACACCCCTGCTTGAAAGTTTTGGACAATTTCAGCCAATAAATGGCTTTAGATGATGGGGCTTTAGAGTTGCTGATAAAGATAAATAATACTTTAACAAGGTTTTTACATGTCAGGTATGTAGTTCTGTGCTTGATTTTTGTGGTGCATTGCCACAATTGAGCAAACTGAACTACAGCTTTCCCCAGAGGGCTGATATTTTTTGCAGCAAGCTGTTGAAGGTGGTGAAGGATCAGTGTCCAGCATGCAGCCAGACACTGAATTCTTTTGTGCGGCGCTCTACAAGATGCCGGCCTGCTGCCAACAGCTGCTGTTCAGAGGGGAGAAAACAGGTCTGGTTTAATCCTCACCTGACCGCCGCTGAATGCAACGCACACAGAAAGGTTTCATTCTGCATCCTGGAACACAAGGTACCATCTTTGTATCCTGATTAGCGCTATAGCAAAATGCTGTGTGGCGAAATGCAACAATTTTTTATCAAAAAATGACAGGTGTAAAATTGGATTGTTTACCTTCAAGAGTAGGAAAGGAAACAATTTAAAGTTTTTTGGGTGTTTTTACCTTTTATTCCACATTTTGAGCCTTTGTGTGTTCCATGGCTCCTGCAGGACAATGGCAGGTTTAAGGAGTTTTCTGCACTATCCTCGCTTCTGTTGTTTTGTTTCTGCTGCTTTGCTCTTCATGGTCTTCAGCCAAGGTTAGTACTGTACTGTACATCTTTATTGATAGTGAACAGGAATATATTTTAACATAGGTTGGATTTTATTTGGGCAAAACAGATCGTTTTAGATTGATATTTAGACTGCCATCGCAGAAGTTAAAATTTGTTAAAAGGTTTATTAAAGTTCCCATCTTTGCTGTGATATGAAATCTATAATAGAAGGTGACTTCAAAAGTAAACATTGTGATTCTTCTTTCTCTACAGAGTTAAGAAACAGGTTGCAAGAAGTGAGGCACAAGAGAGACTTCAATAATTTCTCAGGTATCCCTGTTTTAAGCTTAACTGAGTATAAAGTCACCCTCTTAAATCTCAAAATGTATTATTAATTAACAATCCATTATCTCTGCTCACAAAAAATATATATATTGATTTTTACTCAGTTTAGAATCATTTTGTGGAATACATGAATTTAGAGCCCACAATTTTACAGAGATTACAGTAAAATGTCCCGATGCATACAAAGCACTATCTGCAACTTACAGGATATTTCAGCCTGAAACACTCACTCAAACAAAGAAGTCAATTAGAAGAAGTTTATTGATACAATATTTAAATCTTTAGCGCTCAGACCTCAGCGGAGAAAATTGACGCTGGAATTTACTTTGATATTAGGCATGAGCTGATGAATGAGAATGAGGATGAAAACTCCAGGGCTGAAACTGGTGGTGGAAGAGAGATAGAAGGGAGATGGATGGCAGCTGGAATGAGACGCAGAGTCATATGAATAACTGTCTGTGTTGAGCAAGCATGGATCGACGGTGGAGTGAAAAACTTCCCCTTTGGGAAGAAATCTCTGGGAGAACCAGGCTCCCGCTGGACCAGCTGGGGATGCCTCATAAATGCAGTAAAACCAGAGGAGTCGTCTGATGGAACAAGGGCAGTAGCAGTGGGAAGAAAAGGGAAAGATGGAGCTTGTGACCAAAGTGGAGAATAGGATGGAATAGGGTGAATGTAGGACATTGAATTGAAGTCCGACATTGCGAGCAAACCTTGTTCGGTAGCAAGTTTAGCTGGGAATAAAAATTTCTTTTAAAATGGGCTTTGAATCCTGATTGGACTTTGTGGAGGTGTTATCTGATGCTGCTTGGGTTGCTTCGAAGATTGGATGGTGTAAGTTAATTCTCTTGAATTTTCACCGAGGCTTCATTTCTACATGAAAAAATTTACACAGACAAAGAAGGCAATGAGAAGAAATTTTTTGATACAATATTTAAATCTTTAGCGCTCAGACCTCTGTGGGAATCATCAGCATTGAACGTAACTTAGATTATAGACATGAGGTGATGAGAATGATGATGAATACCACCCAAAAATAGCCATGCAGGGGCAGTTGTGTGACCAGTTGTAAAAGGTGGATCAAGTGAATAGAAAAACCTGGAGGTTAGAATAGAAAATGAGCAACAGAAGGGTGCTGTGAAGGATTGCAGGGAGCGAGGAGCCACAAAGGCTCACGGCAGAGAGGCGATCCCAAAAGGTTTTGAGAAAGGATGCTGAGCCACAAAGCCTTGCATAAGGGATGTTAAGCCGGTAAGGCTTGCAGAAGGGATGCTTTGCCACGAACGTAATAGATTACTTAACATTGCTGAGAGCAAGAGCATGTAGAAGTTGACAAGAGACAAATTTATGAGAATGGGGTAAGAACCACCACTATTAATCACAGCGAAAAACTTACCTAGAGGCTTTGTGGCAAACATTGTGCAAAAATGAAGCTATGATCAGAGCAGATGTATGAGGTGTACGTAGATGATGACCAGCGGCCCAGTTCTTAAATAGAAGGCACTTTGGATGCATTTTACATGCACAAGTGCACTCTCACAAACAACTACAGGTGCTTGGCTCCAGGTACTTAGAGATTCACTTCCATACAGAAAGCCCATATTCTTATCTTCAGGTAACACAGAGTACATGTCAGATTAAATAATACTACTTATTAATTAGCAATAGTATCAAGCGATAGTATGAAGGTTTTCTCTTTTTTTTCTGTTTTTCCCTTCCTGTTCTACTTACATTGGAGTGTCCATATAATCTGTAATAATGCCTGCATGAATTATAATAAAGCTATTTATATGCATTAATCAAGCGGAACACTGCGGCGATAGCCGTACTCCTCCACTTGTGAAAGCAAAATCTGTAGGGCTCTCTTTGGCATCAAGAATTATTCTTATTGCCACATCGCCAGACAAGACACTGTTAAAAAAAAAAGAAAAAAAAAAGAAGGCACTGAGACTCTGGGATGAGCCGCTGTTGAGGCTGTCCCTATCCTAACTGAATGACTGGAATATTGGCTAGATGGGAGGCCACATAATTCAGCATGCCTTCTGGGGTAATGAAGAGAGCTTCATGATAAAGCAAATGCTATCATTTTTGAGTGAAGCCGGGCATACGCTGTACGATTTTATTCATTTTTTATTTTTTTTGCCCTTTTCTCCAGTTGTGCAGAAATGTTTAGCCTGATCTTTCTCAGGATATAGAATATCCGCACCTAGTCAAACTTTGATTGAACTCGCAGAAAGTTTTCTTGAAATTAGAGTGAAGTTTATAAGGAGAGAAACTTGTATGGTTTAGTAAACAACTTAAAAGTAGATACTAAAACAACAATCTTTAGTAATCTGACAACTTTTTGTCTGCAATGTGTTTTTTTTCTAATTATAACTTGAAAGCCAACGGCTCAGTAATGTCAGGTTTTCATCTGAGCTCTCAAAGGAATAAAGAAAACACATACCAGCTGATATAGACAATATAAATTAAATTTGACTAAACATCAGCCTAACCTATGTGTGTCACCATTAACTCCATGCTGGTGAAACTGTTCCCTTGGGACTAATCCCCACCCATCATTCTCATTCTGATGAATTTGCCAGTCTCATCCAGAATAATCTCTATTCGTTTCTTGACCTGCTTTTTCTCCCCAGAAATTCCAGCAGAGAACATCATCGATCCCACTGCCATCGACCTCACTCCACTGGTCAATACATTAATAAATTCAAGCCAATCTGGTAAGTTGTCACAGCATCACTATACCTTGGCTCTAAATCTATCACCTGCCCCAGTTTCTGTCCTCTAGAGGTCAACTGTAGGCTGCGCAGCTTCAGATTCCACCTTGAGATGAGGACGGTCCGTTTTTTCTTAGATCAAATATATTGGACCATAGGTGTTTGTTTGAAACGTGTAATACTAAGGTTTACTACTGTGTGTGTGTGTGTGTGTGTGTATGTATTTGTGTATATATATATATATATATATATATATATATATATATATATATATATATATATATATATATATATATACACACAGACTTGTTGACTTGTTAATGATGTTAGGTATTCGTTGTGGTTCCTCCCTAACACTGCTGAAGACTTTTAAAACAGCCTCAGTCAATTGTTTTACATTGTTTTTGAACAATCTTTCAAAGCTGAAAAAGGAATCCCCCCCTCCAAAAAATAAATAAAAATCAGTTTGAAGTTTTAAGTTGTGCATGTTTGGAAAGTTGGAAATGTGTGTTGAATAATACCAAGCTATGCTGTTGTGGTAATTATGATGGTGGTTGTATAATGCTGTTTGTGTTTTAGGTTCTCGACACCTCTTCTCTCTGCTCAGTGTGACCTCCTACAGCTCCCTGGACCTCCATAAACTTACCTTGTTGGTCTACAACAGTAAATATTATCTAAAAAACTAAAGCACTCATCACAATACCTTTAAGTCTTATGCCTGGTTTATACTCAGAAATCAGGTCGTCTACGTGTGTGTCGCAGTTAATGCAGATATGCCTCACTCCATTCCGCAGACACTCTGGTGCACCTCCCCAAAATTGAAGATGACCACAGACAATTCTGCAGATAGCTTCGCAGGGAGGAGAGAAAGAAGGCCTCTGATTGGTCAATTCAATACAATTTTGGGAAGTTCCACAATCTCCAGTAGTCAGCCGCAATGTCTTCCCACATGGCTGGTGTGGGTAATGGCAGAAACTCTGGCTGTAGTGCAGTCCACAACGCCTGGCACACCGCAGACACTATCCCAGACACCGTGCAGGACTTTAGGTTGTTGCTCTGTGCAACAGTTGTTGGTTTGCATCCGAAGCCAAAACACGCAGCGCCACGGCCGTTCCTTTCGGGAACACTCACGGTTGAACTGTGTGTTATCTGGCGTTGGATGAGGGGTTGTAGAGAGTTTGTGATTGTCTCTCTTGCGTTGTGGTGTGGATAGCGCAGACCGTGCTTCACAATTGAGCATAAATCAGAAATATCTGCGTCATACCTGCGACAAGCTCAAGGCTGGTTTATGCTCAGAAACCAAGTCTCCTGCATGTGTGTCGCAGTTAACGCAGATATTCCCCCGCCCCTTCTGCAGACACTCTGGTGCACCTCTCCAAAATTGTAGATGATCGCAGCCAGTGTCCCAGAAAGGAGGCCTCTGACTGGTCAAATCTACATCCGCTGGTACCTTACCGGCCTGTTTTGTTTATATGACATGTCATTGTGGACTCGTAAAGATGGACCAGCTAGAAGAGTGAGGTGCGTGAGAACGCTGGGACCCTTTTTCCACCTGGATCCCTGCTCTTTTTTTGTCCTCATGTCCCACCTCTGTCGCACAAACCTTCCCCTTGCGTTTTTCCACTTCCTCACTGCCTCGGCCATATCTAGACCTACAGCTAGTTCATGATTGTCCCTCTTGTGTTGTGCTGTGGAATAAAATAGCGCAGACAATGCTTCAAAATTGGGCATAAATCAAAAATATCTGCGTCATACCTGTGACAAGCTCACCTCGACACACTGCTGCAAGTGTATACACAGCCCAATAGTTGCACCGACTCGTTCATTTGTAAATATTTCCACCTAGTGGTGGTAATCTGTTAAGACTACGTTAAGTCTTAGGACAAGTTTATCTTGGGATTAGAAATTGCTTTCTTACATTATTGCAAATGTAAAAGCATCAAGAAGAACTAGAAAAGTTAAGTAAACACTGATCAAATGGATTCTTGACTGCTCTACTTTCTTCTTTTTTTGTGCTTTGTAGTTTCTGACATCAAAAGTTTAGAAAGCAGTCTGTTCAGAAGGCGGTTCTGCTATTGTGTCACTAATGACACAAATGACCTAACAGGTAATATATGTTCATCCCTTCAGACCATAACCAGCAGATCCTCTTGTGAATTTTATTGTCACCTGTATATCCTAAGACTTCACAGCAATTCTTTTGGATGTGATGGGAAACTCAACAAGTTACCTGCATGAGTTGTTTAAGTCTTCCTCCATTCTGTCAGGTGGGTGCTTCTTGATACAGTCTATAGAAACACCATACATCCATCATTACAAAAAAAGTTACTGAAGTGATTCAATTGATGGAGAAATCCCCCATCTTCTGTTTGTGCTCATAGATCAGCTATTTTTGTTGAACCTGATAAGAGGCAGATTAATCAAAAATAAATCTATGTACTTACAGGATTTATGGCATCTTTTATCCCACAAAAATCAGCTTACTCAACTCAGAAAGTTAATGTTTGATCTAATTATCACATAGATAAAAAGGAGAAGCAGACGATGAAAAATCCTTGTCTACTCCTCACCAATGGTCACCCCATTCCAAAAGAAACATGTGTTACTGTCATAATTTTGCCTCATATGCAGGAAACTGGGGTCAGTGGCATGCATCGGGGGACAGGTCGCCCCCCGAGTGGCCTTATTGTTGAAGAACACTTGCTAAAGTGCTCTCTCACAGGAGCCAAAATGTCTGATTTAAAAAAAAAAATTGGAAGCCAAAGCTCTTGCTAAATTGCCTCCTTGGGAGCTAAACCACGTGGCAAAGTGTCCCTTTGGGAGCTGAAACATGTGCTAAACTGCCCTCTTGGGAGCCAAAGTTCATGGTAAATTGTCCCCATGGGAGCCAAAATGCATGCTAGACTGCCCTTTCGGGAGGCAAAGCGTGTGCTAAAGTGTTCCCTTGGGAGCCAAAACGCATGCTTAAGTTTCCCCTTTGGATTAAAAATGCATACTTACATGCCCTCTTGGAGCTGTGCACGGTGGGAACCTGCATAGGTTTAGGAACCTTGGGTTCCCAAAATGTGTGCTAAAGTATCCTCTTGGTGGCAAAAGTGCATTCTAAAGTATCCTGTTGGGAGTAATAACCCTTGCTAAAGTCCCCTCTACAGTGGTGGGTATACCTTTTATGTACCCTTTTTTTTCTTTATCCCACTGCCCTTAAAAAGGTATGTGAAATCCAATGCTTCTGGTTAGGATTAGGCAGCTGTAACGCCAGGACCTTTAAATAACAAGTAAGTTCAGGCTGAGAGGCTTCAAGGAGGACAGAAACCAAAAAAAAGCAACTTTTGGAGCCTATTCCAGTCGCCAGTGGGCGAGAGTTAGGGTACACCCTGGACAGTCCACTACAGGGCCTCACAGAGATGAAAAACCATGCCGCTCACGCTCACTCCTAAGGGCATTTTGGAATGTTCAATCAACTTAACGTGCAGGTTTTTGTACTGTGGGCAGAGAACCCAGAGAAGATCTATGTAGACACATGGAAAATGTGCAAACTCCACACAGAATGGCCCAGGATGTGAACCATCTTGCTGTGAGACAATGGTGCTAACCACCATACCATGGTGGTATGGTTCATAATGAAAATATTTTTGTTTAACATCTCTGATAAAATGCTTGTTTACCATTTTTTTTAATAGATTAACTCCAGTTAAATTTAGCACTCGCATTCCTGCCAGAAAATGTAACCATTACTGCAAACTTCACCCTGTTAATGAAGTTCTTCTATCTGTGTTTCAGTCAGTCAAAGGAACAACTCAGAGTGTATTTATATCTGCGTGATGGCGGGGAAGATGGGTAGGTAAAGATCTGCCACAGTGAGTTTAGTTCAGATCAGAAATAATCTTCAGCATTTTAAATGTTTATATGCTGCCATTGACATCTCTGTGCTTTAAGTTGTATGAATGAATAAGGGTTTAACAGAAGATGTTGCTTGCATTAAAAATATGGGGTTGGGTGGTGGTGGAGAGGGTTTTATTATCTTTACCTCAAGATAAGGGAAAAAAATGTAGTTTTTTATGTTGTGGAAGTGACTAATCATGTAGTAGTTGTTCTGATTAAATGTGTGTTTTGTCCAGGCAGAGACCTGTCTGGGCTGTGGGACGTCGGCTCCATCACTCCCCTGTTCAACCAGACTATTGTTGAAGGACCAAACAAAGGTTTATTAAAGCTTCAAGAACATTTTTCAAGAGAAAACTCAGATGCACTAAGTTTGACATCATAAAATAAATCTAGTAGACTTACTCTTAGGTAACGCTGCCATCTGCTGTTTGTTTATTTTATTTATTTATTTTCCTTTTAGGGATTAATATAGTATTTATGAAATGAATTAAATTTTCACATAAAAATATTATCAGCGATCTTAGCAAGAAAACATTAAGTTGCTGAATGAAAATGGAATAACAAGTTAAAGAACCAAATATCAATCGAAATTTTTATAACTGATATAGGCTGTAATTGTAAACTATGATGTCATGAATCTGATTCAGAAAGTTTCTCTGATGTAAACTTGGTTTTACAAAATACACAATATTTTACTTTCCAAAGTAAGAACTTCGTGTAAGCCAATTTTTTATTTTTGTTTTGTTTTCCAGAACAGTGTTTTTGCTGCATTTTGTTGTTTTTCATTTACATTGGTTAGAAAGCTTATTTTTGTTGAATCAGATCACTAAACTAATAGACCACCAATGGCTTTTGTGATTACACCGTCTGAATGTCAACAAGTTTAAGAAGTGTTTAACAAATTAAAATTAAAGATTAAAAAAAATTTCAATTTCTTTTAATATCAAGTAAACCAGAACTGCTGGCTGCAAAGCATATTAACCAAATTATTTCCATTTTTAATGAAACTAGATTTTAATCTGCATTCATTGAAACATTAATTCTATAAATAATCTGTTGGAATTGATATTTCTCTCAATAACAAGTTTGAATTGGTTTTTAATGCATTTTAAAGTTTTGCTCTTTTGTTAGTATAAGGAATTGGTGTTTACAAACCCAACAGACAAAGCTGTAGTTTAGTAATAAAGTAAGTAAAATTTTAACAATAATATGTGTTGAGGACAGTAGAGGTGAATAAAATTCAACAAAAAATTGCAAAAAAAACCTTATCCATCAACGCCACTGCAGTTCTAGGTGCGCCTTCCTTCTTACTGTGAGTCATAATGAAGGAAACTGTCTTTTTTAGTAGAGCAGAAATAAGTCCTGCACAAACCACTAAAAGTCTTCTAAACAAAAAACAATGAGTCACAAAGAAGAAAGTAATAAAAAAACATTAAGGTGCTTTTAATGCTTTTTTAAAAATCTGGTGCTTTGATCCCCCTTTTTAATGCTTCCCAGGAAACCTCCCCATGATGCCTTTTATCAAAAAAAACATTTAAATAATACTGTCTCAATGCTGGCACGAATAAAACCCAAGATTATTAAACACCTTTATTCTTAAGTTGATAGATGACATTATAAAACAATAGCTATTTCAGGGAAGTTGGTTTATTTCTGCTTGACTTATGCTTTAATGCTGCTAATAATTTTTGCTGATGCTAAAAATCTAAACTGGTGTTTTTTTTTCAAAAACATTTGTAAAACTCAACGCATTTTTTTTTCATTTCATCATCAATCTTTTCATCTAAAGTTTTACTGCAAAGCTCTTATAAGTTTATCATCTGAAACTTAATGAGTTTTTCTGTTTTGTTTCTTTTGAAGTGACTAACCTCTCCTCACTTCGACTTCCGGAAGGTTGGTACATCTGTGCCTTTAAAGTGTCTTTTAAAAAGCTGCACTCATCGCTGACACATTAGTTATTCAGTTCTCTTATCCAAATGTTAATTTTAACCCTCAGAATGGCACCAACTGCCCACCAATCTGAGTCATGTCTCTCCGTCTGGGATGAGCTCCATGCTGAGCAGCCGAGTCTCCTCTACTGCTCATGGTGAGTTTTCCCCAGGGCAGCCGTTGAGAAGAAGCTAAAAAAAAAAAAACTGCCAAAACGTCTGTGAATGTCCCTGTTATTCTGGCTGGCTTTCCTGACCACAGTTTGTCCTGAGCCAATGAAATTTTAGGCCCGCTGCTAATGTTAGTATGTTTTTCTTTGTGCTGCGTGGCAATGAAACTTATAAATCTATCCTAATATTTAAAATTAGAATACATCGTTGACCTGTGAATCAACTCTTAAACATAATTTTAGCCTGAATGGGACCATTAAGTTTTTGTATACCACTAGGTAAGTTCCCAGAAAGGTTACCAATAACTGGCTGTCCCGAATCTAGTGGTTATTCACTTATAAAGTACTTCTGTCAAACTTTTACTGTACTTACCTTTTTTTTAAATCTTAACTGGTTAAAATACACACAGGGTCTTAACAGCACATAAGGAATGATAAAATAACTAGGAAGGTTGCAAGAAAGTTGCAGAAACTACCATGTAATTTCCAGAAAAATACTGAGTAAATTAAACAAGGCAACTAAACATATAACAGTTTGGTTCCTGAAATAACTTTTAAAGTTCCAGAGGAGTAGTACGCTCCAGTCAATTACTAAGGAAGTTGTTTTAAAGGAAGTTTTACCAAAAAGGTTCCTAGAATGTTATTGGAAAGTACCCAGTTCAGTCAAAGGAAGTACCTGGAAGAACTTCTGGTTCCAGAAAAGTACCACATGTAATATATGAAACTCAACATCTCCTGCCTTAAAGGAATAGTACACCCAAAACACGATTAGCCTTCATTTTCTACTCCCCCCATGCTGAACAACACTCTGGAGTACTTTTTTGATATCTCAAATGCATCTGGAGATCTGGGAGGCTTCTTGCTGTCTGCTGACATTCAAATAATGGAGGTCTATGGCGCCCGAGGCAGAAAGGTCCATAAAAGTCCACAAAAAACGTGTCAATATTCCTCCATACTGCTCGTCCAATTTATTCCAAGTGTCCTGAGTGGGTAGCGTCCATTATTTACTCGAAACGAAGTCATTTAGAATGTTTTTAGAGCATAAACAGTAGTGTATAGGATTTCCTAAAAGCGCGTTCACGAGTCTACGGAAACCGCGGCAGACCAAACCAGACGAAAGTGTGCATTCAGCTCGGCAAAGAACTCATGCTCTTCCTCAACACTGAAGTCCTCAGACATTTTTCTTTCGTTGTTTCTTTCTTTGCACAGGTAAACAGCACATTTCTTCTTCTACGCTTGCATTATCGGCAGAGCAGACGCTGAATGCGCACTTTCATCTGGTTTGGTCTGCCGCGGTTTCCGTAGACTCTTGAACGCGCTTTTAGGAAATCCTATACACTACTGGCTCTAAAAACATTCTAAATGACTTCGTTTCGAGTAAATTATGGACGCTACCCACTCAGGAAACTTGGAATACATTGGACGAGCAGTATGGAGGAATATTGAAACATTTTTTGTGGACTTTTATGGACCTTTCTGCCTCGGGCACCAGACACCTCCATTATTTGAATGTCAGCAGACAGCAAGAAGCCTCCCAGATCTCCAGATGCATTTGAGATATCAAAAAAGTACTCCAGAGTGTTGTTCAGCATGGGGGTGAGTAGAAAATGAAGGCTAATCATGTTTTGGGTGTACTATTCCTTTAATTAACTGATCAACTGATTACAGAAAATGTGAAACTCAAGCTAACAGTTTTCCATTTAGCCTTCAAAGACAACCAACCTTGTGACTAAATGAGAAGTCAATTAGACATAAAAAAAAAAAAATTAGGGAATTGATAATATTTTTGCTTCCTTTGCTGTTTACGTCTTTAGGTATTTCTCTGCACGGTGAGGCCTTATTCGGTTTAGAAAGTGTGACCATTAGCATCCTTTTTTTTTTTTTTTCCTCAGCTCTGCCAAACCTGAGCAGAACATCTTCACCAACATTAAAGCTCACGGTCACTACCCCTGAACACCCAACATCCTCAATGTCTACAGAAATCACAGAAAGTCTGTCAACGTTCTGGAGACCAGAGACGCCAAACACCCGGAGCAGCCAGATATTAACCACTCTACTGAGCAGGACGACACAAGCTGCTCCACAGGCAGTGGTGATAACATCAGCTTTAACTGCATCATCAACCAGAACCACCAAACAACCAACCACTGCTACAGTAACGTCAAAGTTCACATCTACACCTCCTGCAGCCACAGCAGTCCTTTCAGCACTGATGAATCTGATTGAAACAAACACGTCTACAAGTGAAAGATCTCTACAGACAACCTCCATGAGACCTTCAACCATCCGACCAACAGAACACCCTACAGCGCCGACAACCAGCGGAGCAACAGCAACCAATCATTACAGAGAGACAGAGAGACCAGGTAAGCTCCCATTACACCGAATAGGTTAAATTGAATGGAAAAAAATAGATTTCCTGGTGTGAAGAAAAGGTAGGAATATTTTGAAGTATTTAATTCAAGGTTGCTAGAAATATTCTCAAATGAATTCCAAAATTTTTTTCCCCCTGAGTAAAACAGAGTTTTAGTGTTTCAGATTAATAAGCACAGGCGGATTTAGAAAGCTGGTTTTTAGTTGGTTTTCAATTTTTTTTTTTGTGGTGTATCATTAGAACTGTATGGATAATTAAGGAATATTAGATTTTTACCAAGGAAATGCTGCAGATGTAAGCAACGCAAGGCAAGTTTAGTTGTATAGCACAATTCAGTACATGGACAATTCAACTGGATTTAAATGAATTAGACGATAAAATAGAAGAAAAATAAAAGCAGAGTAAAAGCAAATAAAGATACAAAAAACATGATAAAAGCAGGTAGTAAAACAAATAAAACAGTTGGTCTCAGGCTTTCAGCTCTTTTACAGTCTTATGGAAGTTTATTCCTGATAAGTGGAGCATAGGAAGTAAATACTGCTTCTCCATGTTTGGTTCTAGTTCTGGGTTTACGGAGTAGGCAGGAATTTATAGAATAATAGAATGATTTTAAAGTCTATTCTCTTAGCTACAGGGAGCCAGTGGAAGGACTTCAGAAGATTATCTAACCCAATAAAAGCCAATATAGCCGTTGGAATCCATGTTAGCTAGATGATAGCCCAAGAGCTTTTCTTTTACAAAAACACCAGTATGGCCCTGCCATAAGGTTCTGCTTGATACTTGTATATTGAACTTTATTGAACATTATTTGGGGAATAAATCGTATACAATGGACACGGAAATGGAGGTGAGAAAGAAAGAGGATATAAGAACTAAGGAGAGAGAGAATGAAAAGAGAGAAAATAAAACAAAAGAGAGAATTAACAACGCAGAAGATAAACAGTAGCTCCCAGAGCTCTGCCTCCATACCTGTATGAGATAAGAGAAATCAGAAAACAAAGAGCATAACAGCAAAAAGAACACAACAGACAACCAAAATAAAACAAACAAACAAAAAAGCTTCAAGAGCAGTGAGTATCCATGTGTGTCAGAGTCAGAACCTAGAAAATACAATACACAATATTTAACAGAACGGTATTTCTCTGTAGCTGCAGGTAGGTATTTAGTATTAGTGTGTATCCATAAACACTTGGAACTAAATGCATGAGCATGCTTGTGTATAAAGGATTCACAAAGCTTCTTAAGGAGAGTACGCCTTATAGCTGGTGTGGGCGGCCCCAGAATAGCTCTACAGGGCCCGGGACAGAAAAAGAGGCGATGCAAGCCTCATTATCCAAAGATATCCCTGATCATTGGGACACATGGAGGTCAGACATAGAGATGGCCGTACCCACCAAAGAAGAGCAGACGAGAGCACCCGGAACCCGACCAACAAGGGGCCAAGCCCCAAAAGGGCCAAGTCCTTTAGGGGCCTCAAACCGGAGGCAATTGTACCGGGGTTCCATCGGGCTGCGACAGCAAGCCCATGTGCTTCGCAGGTGGCAAGCCATGCCGAAGGTGGATCCGGATGAGAGCCCCGGTCTGAGATCCGGGGGCACTACATCCCAAGCAGGAATCCCGCAGGGCAAGGAGGCCAAGAGACAGACACTAAGGGGCCAACCACTCTGGGAGGAATAGACCCAGGAGGAGATCCCCAGAATGCCATTCAACAAATGAGCCACAAGGTGGGTTGACTGCACCCTACTTACCCAACCCACCCCACCCCCCAACTGGGCAGGTCCCAGCCAATAAATATACCAATGTTTCTGACATTCTGACAAAAAAAGCACATAACTGTTCAACATGGTTTTGGAAGTGTCATGGCTTGGGGTTGTTTCCTCCTATACTGTCTCCCAGTATGATAGGAAGGAGTGACTTTAAGCTGAACTGGATCAACAACATGTCAATGTCTAAAACGCACAAAGACCAGCAAAGAAATAGGAGATAAAAGTTCTTGCCTCACTCAAAACCCAGATACCAAACGGGAATTTAAACAGGCTAGACAAGCATGAAACTCCACAGACATCTCACAGCTGAAAGGAGAGGAGCAAGAGACTGGTAGACAGCAACTAGAAGCATCCCAGTAAAATTATTTCAATTAAACTCAAAGAAATGAGCTGGTATTGACTGGATAATTCTCAGCTAAAATACATATATGGGACGTTTAATCGGCAAACCTGAGGGTTTGTTTTAGCTAAGTTTCTTTACCCCTCATATTGGCTACAGAAATCATGGTTGACATTTTCCATATGCAGTCTAAAGGATGTTACTTTGCTTGTGGTTCCAACATTTGTCTGTGTGATCCTTAGTTTTTTACAATGACTGTTTGCTCAAATGTTTAATATTGGTGTCCAATATAATTTAATTCTCACTTTGGATTTCAGTAGTTGTGAAACTCTTTAAAATGTCCCCTAAAGTATTCATACACACACATTTCCTCAACTTTACCACCAATGCAACAGGCAACCTTTCATCTCATAAGCATCTCTTCTCCTGAAAATTCAGGAATCACAACTTCTTTGTTGTTCTTTAGAGGTACACTGCTCAATCTCTAAGGGCCTTCAATGACAGCAGCTCCCTCTAACCTCTGACACTAAAACCATTAAGCAGAAATGAAAATGTCCCTTCCCTTTTTTTAATCTTGTTAAAAAAAACATACATATGATAAAATAAAGTATAATTTGTAGGCATCATCCACAGAGGTGTACTCCAGCTAAGTGGCTTGATGGTGCCGCTCTGCCCTGTTTGGCTCTGACAGCTGACCCGTTCTCAGGAAAGCAGCTGTAATCACATCATCAGATCCGTTCACCGTCATCTCTGGGCCCACCGATGGCGGCTGATTCAATTTGAGCCTGAAGGCAGCAGGTTCGGGTGTGTGTGTCTGTACGTTTGAGTGTTGGAGATGGAGGAAGTGGAGCTGGAGATGGTAGCCATGGCAACAGAAGGCGCAGCCCTCCTTCATAAAGCAGAACAGCATTAACTGTTAAAAAGGATTAATTCATAAATATCAGCAAATTATTCACACCCATCCTATATCTGTCCTGCTCCTGGATTATAGGAACATGGTGGACATTTCTTCTTACAGCGACTGGATTATTTAGCTCAAATTTTCCATCTATCAGGTGAAGAATTTTTATAAACTTCACGCTACATTTATCTTCAATACTTTTATTTATGTATTTAAAACGAGACTTGAATATAATGGTTTATATAGGGAAATTCAGGGTAAATCTAGCTCAAAGACTTCCCTCTGCCCACATTTCCCATCAGCACCACTAGATGGCAGTAACATCCTGCTGTAAAAACAACCACCCAGCCTCTGCCACCCCCACAACCCTATGGGTTTTGCCTAGCAACAAACCAAGGGCTGCAGCACCCTGTGCAGTTTGTCACTGAGTCATTAGTTTGCAGTAAAATGAACGTTTGGCACCAAGCTCCATGTGTCTGCACCTTCTGTGTTGATGTCGGCACACAAACAAGGCGGCGATAGGAGGCCACAGCTGGTTACCATGAACTGAGCTGATCTGTGTCAGCTCTAACACAGCAGATCTGGAAAAACAAAAAAGCTGAAATGGCTGCAGAGTCTTTTGTGATTGATTTTTTGGATAAGATTTAAAGCCGATAAAAGATCCCTCTAGTTTTTAGCATATATTCTGTTGGAGCTTTATATTCACATATAGATTAAATGTCAACTTTGTCAAAAGGTTAACATAATAGGTAGATGCTCAATAAGCAGCTTGTAACACGGATGGCATTATACTTATATTTTAGAAATATGCTAATAGTAACGCAGACAGGTCTTTAAATAATTTAAAACTGAGCACACTTTTTACCCCGATTAAGTTCAGTCCGACCTCAGTATATGTCAAACATTTTCATAGGTCAATTGGGACCCAGTTGGGTAAATTGGAACTGACCTTGACCCAACTGTAAACCTGTGCTGCCTACAGTCAACGGGAAAGAGAAACTGGTACAGGACAGCCGCTTGTGAACAGAAAGTCTAATCAGTGTTGGGTGTAATACAAGCAAAAGCCAGCTCATTACAGCTATGATGATAAAACCCTAACAGAAAAACACCAGAGAGAACGTCAGTAATGACATGGACGGGGGTCATTGCACAGCTTGTTCATTAATCAAGGGGGCCTCAGACTGAAGCAGGTGGAAGACCCCTGCTTTGAACTGTTGTCCTCTCAACAATTTCCCGTTTGATATGCTCTGTTGGCTTTAGTTGGTCTGGTAAATACTGCAACCTTCGATCAGCAGGTCCAGTTATTCAGTGGGGAACCCTTAGTCTTTCCTCGATGAAGCTAAAACCATTCTGTTGGTGTGAATGAACAGTTTTCCAAGCTCTGTTGAGACTAGGGCCACTGTGCAGTGTGTCCCCAGCATTCATCATTGAGTATGTGTTGCTGTGTGTCTCATTGTTGCTCTGCAACAGATTGGCGACCAGTCCTGGGTTTACCCAACATCTCACAAAATGTCTGCTGGATATAAACACTGGCCTATACCCTGACGGAATAAGTGGGAGAAGTGGGAGAACCCCGCCTCTCGCCTCTAGACAGGTCTTTAAATCATAAAAAAAAAAAAAAATATATATATATATATATATATATATATATATATATTTTTTATGATTTAAAGACCTGTCTAGAACAGCCGTCTGTTAACACTTCATGTAGTTCCCAGAGGGTCCGACAGTGAGCGAAAAAGGCTAGTAAAGTGCATGAATACAACAGGCAGCATTATTAGAACTGTAAGAGGTGATGATGTCACTTTTAAAGTTGGCATGAGGCAAAGTGGTTGTCGAGTGAAAGCTTTGTGACCTTTAGCTTAAGCAATATTGTGGTTATGTAGACATGTGTTCATGGGAGTAAGGTTCTAAAAGGGCCTAGTCAAAGTATAATATCTCCAGTTTACCTTCATTTAAGGATAACTTCTGTGTATTTAATTGAGTTCCTCAGATCTGATATTATGACCCTCCTTAACAGTGTTGGATTTTTAGAAAATAGCTTTCTTGGTTTCCTTGTAACAGACATCTACGATCAAACTCTCTCTGGTAATTGAACGACACAACCTTACCGACCCCTATCATAATCTTTTTCTAATTTTTTATTTTTATTTTAGATTTTTCTTTTTATTTAATTAGAACTAGTTCCACAGTTACTGGCGACCTGTCCAGGGTGTACCCCGCCTCTAGCCCATTGACTGCTGGAGATAGGCACCAGCATCCCTCGCGACTCCAACTGGGACAAGCGTGTAAGATAATGGATGGATGGATAGTTCCACAGTTACCCTATGCTGCCCTCCAGTGGCCTTTACTCCTCTGCTCATCCTCATTGAACCACTACTCTGGATTTCACATCAGATTGACTAGAAATGTTTCTGGGTGTTTTTCTCATGAGTTCATGTCACCCTTTTTAATTTCACACTAAGTTTGGTGTAAATCACTGATTCCATGTGAATTAAGACCTCTTGAACAAAAATCAGGTGAAACATGATTATAATGAAGATTGCTATGATTGGAATTTCAGCCCTGACGCAGCAGCGTAATAAATAGATGTAATTTTTTTCCTGGTCCCCTCAGTGAGCTGCAGGAGTGTGGATGTATACTTGTGTGTGATTACATTTTGACTTGTTAGTTTCTAATCTGCAAATAAGCAGCAAATGTTAACGTAGTTTAGAGGGAGCAGAGCAGATTCGGTCCTTGGGCGTTTTGAGCGTTTCAATGCTGATTTGAATGTGTTGAATAGACCCATCTCTGACTGAAGTGACCTCCCACTCTGTCTCCTGAGAGGCTGTCCCTGGAGGAGGCTGGAGCCCAGCAGCAAAACGATGACGGTGGGTGAACTCAAGCTGCAGCCCTGCGTCCTCGAGCTCTGCAAGTTCTTCTCCCAGTGCCTCTGCAGACCATTCAGCCAGAAGACACGGACAAAAAGGTTTTTCTACAATTTTCTGATCACACCCCTGCAGGCTGCTGGTTTAGACCACAATGTAATCTATAATGGCAGGTTATTGTACACTTTGGTTAGATACGAGGGGGTAATCCACCAACTGGCTGTTAAACCTCAAAGGAAATACCAAGAAACCTGGAGAAAGGCCCGGTCTCTTTCCACACCTAGATATTCAATGAGGGACAAAAATAATTACATTTGTTATTCCACATTTGTTTAATAAGAGTAATTTTTATGGGAATGGCTTTTCAATGAAAATCAGGTTTTATAGATATTATATATTCATTTGACCTGGTTGAATGATGGAAACCATGACCTCAAACAAGGAAAGCAAAATCTGTAGTACAAAGAAAACTAAAGCACATTTAGAAGGACATGTTTGTCTCTGGGCAATAAGTTGAAGGCAACTTTAGTCTTGAGCGCCATTTCAGTTGAAAAGGCATCAATTTATGACAATAAACTTTTAGCTTAGTCTATATATTTAACAGGTACTATATGTGAACACATTAATCTTTATAGAAGCGATGCTTTACAACAGATTCAGCTCATTATCAGTAATCCTTGGCCGGGTCACACAGATAAAATATATCTAATCCATTCACATCTATTTACAAAAGACTTCAAACTACTATTTAAACATTAGCACATAGAGTTATATTTCAAAAGACCATATTTGACATCAACAAAGCTGATTCCCAGTAGTTCTTTTCTGACATTTTGTGAGAAATTATGCAGGTCAGAGTATAGTTTCAGAGAGTCTCTTGAGTTTTTTCCTCTCCTTATCGGAATGAAAAGGCAGTCTGTTTCTTTTAGGCCATCTACAGTCATTACAAGCTAATAACCTACATGTTCTAGTCATCTTCTTAGAGATCAGCTGAAATAATCTCTTCAGACTTCTTATCAAATCCAAGTTATTTTCTCTAATTGTAATAAACTACAAGAGTAAGTCGGTCTAAATCCTGCCCTTTTACACCATAAGCCATCGTCCTCAACCCTAAGCCAGACAGGCTACAATGCTTTCCTTGTCGTGGTGAAGAAACTCCAACTCTTAACATTGATCATGACCCAAAGAAAGGGACTCCAAACATAAGCAGGCATAATTAGCATCTCCTTGGTTTAGAACTTCACCACAAAGAGTTGATGAGGTTGACCTTTAACTTATAAGTTTACAGATCACTGATTGGTTGGTGTATCTTAGCGGGATGCTAGTTGACCACTTGCTTTGGGGGTTTTTGTTCCACTGGTAGGAGACTCTAAGTTGGAACCAGAATTCGCTTGACTGTTAATTGATCTAGACGTTATGAGGAGCTGGATGTCTGAGTGTCCCTCCTGAACCTCTTACCTCAATGACTAACAATGAAATAAATGGCAGATGAGTTATGGACAGACATATAATGGAAGGCAATGCATAGTCTTTATGTTCTCTGTCCTTTTTCCAAGTTTGGACATGTTGGGTGCAAATAATCTGACTTTAGGTCTCCTTTAGTCATTAATTGTGTCCCAGATAAAATATTATGTCAGTGACTTCCTGTTTCCGTGTCTATACTCTGGTAGGAAAAGCCTGATTTTTCATGCAGGATTTTCTGGGTTTTCCATGTCTTCCTACAGATACTGTGATGACAGCTTCCTCTGGTACGAAGAACACACTTTTGAGGTGTGTCGAAGAGTGAAGAGAGTTTCCTTCTCCAGAAGTAAGTGAATTGTAGAGGCGTAAAAATACTGGATCAGTCTCAGCAGAGGACACAAAGAAAAACTGTTCATGACAGAGGAAAACTGGTTGATCAGTAAAGAAGCTGTCAAGCATCCTCCACCTTCACTTACTGAGGCGTGTTGTTGAGTCCCACCTCATTACATCAGCAGGTGTTTGTGTTCAAACGTCATTACGATGTTCATTCCTATATAGCGCTAATTCACAACACATTTAATCTCAAGGCATTTTAAAACAATACAGTCAGTCGCTTGTTTTTTTTTGGTTGACTCTTCAGCAATCCCTCATGCTAAGCATGCATGTAGTGACAGTGGAATGGAAAACTCCCTTTTAACAGGAAGAAACCTCCAGCAGAACCAGGCTTAGTGTGAGCGGCCATCTGCAAAAGCCGACTGAGTTCAAGGAGACAGACGCTGGCATAGAGAAAGAAGCAGAGATACAAAAGGTAACGGTTAATCAGCTCCACATATGGCCTGGTCCAGGAAAGACACAGCCAGGCAGATGAGCTCCGAGCCAGCTCCCATGTCAGAGGATGAAGAGAGCACATCCAGCCAATCACAGTCAGAGAAACAGGACTACACTGAAAAACAGGTCGAGCTCCAACATCTATAAACAAAGGTGTTGGTGACAGCAGCACAGCTGATATTTCTCTTCAGGATGGTGTCGCAGCCAAACAGGAGCAGACCAGCAGCAGGCTGAACATATAGCAGCAGAAATATAGAAAATAGCTGACTATTTTGGATGAGGTATTAGGTGTTGCCATAATAGGCCAAAGGCAAGACAAGGAGAAACATCTGTCTGGATGGAATTCTCCCCCACCAGATCCTGCTGTTCGCTCTACCTCCTCCTACTACTCTATTCACCCTCTGACTAAGCAAACATCCCTCTGTTTTTAACTATAAACTGTATCAAAAAGAAATATGAGCAGCATTTACCTAACCGCTGGTAAGTAAGCAGAAGAAAAACAAGCTATACTGTCTACATACGTATAGGATCCACTGAGGTTTTATTTGGTAGCATCTCTTTTTGGCAGCGATGGTCAGATACATTTTAGGTTTGTAGTTTAACCTCTTAACATCCACCTCATTTTGGGAAATCCTCACCTATTTTGCATACCCAAATGGAAAAGGAAATAACTGAGGAACTGTAAGCCTAAATTACATGTCTGATACATTTGAAAGCTAACACCTTCTTGTTTCTGAATATATACATGAAAATTGGGTGAGTAAAACACCCAAGCTGCATCAGTTCAATGCATGACTCAAAGTTGTTTTGTTTTTTTATTCTCGAAAATAATAGGTATTTTTTGAACAGCAGTTATAAAGACATGCTTGCTTGTTGTGGCTTCTTGTCATGGGACATTTTGACATACTGCTATAGCTGTGTTAATTGTGCTTTGGTGCTCGCTATGTCCATAAAATAAACTAGGTGATTGAATTGTGGAGAATCTAAGCTTTCCAACAATGTCTAACATGTCCATATTGGTAAACATTTAACCAGTGTAATTTTCGTGCATTCTGAATTATTTGCAAATGCTTTAAAAATGCTGGGTTTTGAGAGGTTATAAATTAGTTTTACATTAAAATTAGAGCAATTATTTGTGTAGTAGTTCATTTGTTTAGACTGAAAGGTGGGTGGTGTGTGTTTGTTCCTTCAACTCCACTTTAAGACAGACCTACAGATCATCAGCTTTAGTCTGAGGTAAAAAGTCGAATTTCAACCCCAAAATTGACAAAATTTGGGGGGAAAAAAATTATTTTTGTAGGATTTTGTATCTTTTTTATATTCATTTCTTGACAGAAACACATCAGATGGTACTTTGGCTGGAGACACTACCAACTCTTTATCAACCATGGCTCTTTGAGGGGCCATCTAGACGCGTTTTAGAACAGAATAGAATAGAAAATCCCTTTATCGCCCCTAAATTGGGAAATTGTGGTGTTACAGCAGCAGATTATTGCAAAAGTGGTCACACAAATGTGGACCTTAAAAAGTGTATAAAAATCACAGATTAAGTGACAGAGTTAAAAAGATAAACAAATAAAATACTGTAGTGTTTTTTTAACAATATAAATACTGTGCATTTGGAAAGAATAAATAATCAATATACAGCTGTGGACATTTTAACAGTATTAGATATGTGAAAAAATATCAGCAACATTACAGATGCATGTTATTGAAGTGACTAAGAAAGAAACTGTAAAAATCAGCTCTAATGTAACAACTTATTGAGGTTGTTTGGAACAGTGATGTTATAAAGTCTTACAGCTGCTGGGAGGAAGGATCTGTGATAACGCTTCCTGGTGCATTCAGGGTGCAGCCATCTGTCACTGAAGGAGCTCTCCAGTTCAGCATCAGCTTCATGCATGAGGTGGTAGATATTATCCAACAGAGATGTTATTTTAGTTTAGGGTCATTTTGTTTCACACCTCCTGCACTGAGTCCAGAGGACATCCAATCACCCATCTCCATGTGTTTCTGGATTTTGCCTATGCATTCATGTTATGAGTACAAATGAGAGGAAAGAAAAACATCAGAGTATTTATCTTAAGTGTTTTAACAGAGCTTAAGGTCAAACAATTTCTTCACATCGGGCTTTAAATTTTTTTTCAGTTTGTGACTGAATTAAAATAGAGAAACAATAACAAATATTTTTAAAGCTGTAATTGATGTTTTTTCATAACTGTTGTTGTTTAGTATTTAATCTTTATAGTTGGTTTATAGAATATATCTAAACCCTAACCTAACCCTTAACAGGTTTCTGTCGAAAACACTAAGATGGCTCTACATTATCTGATCCTTTTGATGCTCCGATATATTTTTTACCACAAAGCACTCTGTGCATTCATCCATGAAAGGTGTTAATAAATAAAGTACTTTTACAAAGCAGAACTTCTTTTCAAACTGTATAACCTCTTAGGAGTTTGTTCATTAGATAACGAACACTCACAAATCGATAGCGTTACTATGGCAACCTGCAGCCTCATTAAACATTAACATGTTGAGAACCGTATGTCTCCAGTTTAAGGTTTTAAACATCAGTTTCTCCTGAATTTATCTGAAGAACTTTAGATCGCAGAAGGGAACTTTTGCAAGGTGAGGTTGTTGAATGTTTACATGTTTGCTCTATGGAGGATCATTAAAGCTAATTTTCTTGTTCTCATATTGGTTCTTTTTCCCACATGAAGCTCTAAGCGGACAGAAGTTCCTCCTCTGGTGTCGGATACGCAGCTCTAACCCTCCGTCCTTTTTCTTTCTCCCTCCACAGATCTGAAACAGAGATGCTTGTCAAAGATGTGCAGCAAACTGTGACCCATCAGGAAGCGGCAGGAAACAAAGAGCCGTTCATTCCCGAATGTGACAGGAATCCCAGACAACAGCTTCTGGAACAGCTGGAAGACTCACAGAGGAGAGCGTGTGGCTGGTTTCCAAAAGAAAAAAGGACATTTTACATCTTTTACCTGAATATTAGTCACCAATCAGCCACCTGGTTCATAAAATACATGTTTCTTACAACAAATCTTTAATGGGTTTTTAAAAAAACAGCTCTTTTTCCTTTATTTTATCAATAAAGAGACTTCAGTGAACACTCCAGTTGGTTAGGTTTCTCTTTTTAAACTAACCTGAATCATTTAATGGTAGGTGTGTATTGGTCGAAACTTTAAAAAATCAATAGATTGGCTTTTAAATGAACCTGTTACCATTATATAAACTTAACTCACCAGCGGGGTTGACTTATATTAACCTTTTAATGGTAAATGTGAGGTTAAACCAATGATATTTAAATGTTTGATTTGAATTCTTAATATTTAAAAAGTTTGCACATGACTGAATGTTATTTGACCTTAGACAAATAAAAAAAAATAAACATCCGAGAACAAGGTTCTGGGTTATCATCTGGCAGCTCCTCATGAATCAATAAGTTGGTGCTATGAACACAATTTTCTTCCATTAAATTTAATATTTTGCTTTTTGTTGATTCAGCTAAATAAATACAAATGAAATGGGTCTTTGTGAAGGTAAAATTCATCCAGTCTTTAAAAAAGGTTGGTTTGGGTCTGGACTGGAAATAAGAGGAAAGGAAAACTGGTTTCGAAGAGCTTCAGAGAACCTGTAGAGCCATTATTTCTGATAGGAGTTTCTTTTTTTCTCTTTAATGCATTCAGGTCTGTGTGTAGCAGCCGTAGTATCCCCACCTGTTTGAGACAAAGCCTCTCTATCACCGCTGCTGTGATTAAACCAACAGTCCTTCTGCTTCGCTGAACCCCTCCATTCCTTCCTGTTCGCTCTCATTGATCAAATGAGTCCAGTTTGTTCCTCCCCAGGTCAGAGATCTAGACCCCACAGGACAAAGGCCGCTCTGTGGATCCCCCTGTGGGATCCCATCTGTATAGAAAAAACAAAACCCTGACATACCTGTGCAAGGACTCGACCTGGATAAGCTTCTGCTCAGGTGTCACCTGATAGCCAGTAAGAGCTGATCTTAAGGGGGCTGAAGGTTCTCCTCCTCGTTTTGAGTGGTAAACAGCTGAAGGAGCTGAGGATTCATTCTACTGGGGAATAAAACCACACAAAGACGTTCTGACCCACTTTAACGGCTCCAGAGGCACAACTGGAGTGTATCTGGTTAAATGGTGTAGAGTGTTGCTCAACTTCAGCTTCTACAGCCAATAAAGAAAAACTGAGGTAAGATTTTCCTCTGGGCTTTAAAGTGTAAAATAACCTTGAGATCATGTGTATCTGGAAATTAAAAATAAGTGTTTTTCAAATATTCTTTTCTTTTTTATTTACCCCAAAGTTGAATATTAGCTAAAGTAAATTCTTGCAGCTTCCTACTGGATTTTTCTGTTCTGGAATGCTGTCCTTGGATTCAGTTAGTGGTGAAGTGAAAACATGCAGGGGGCTGGAGGATCACTAGGAAACCAAACCACAAATAAACCAACAGCAGGAGCTAATCTAACATGTACAGTTTAGACAAGTAATGTAGAGATAGATGATGTCCTCCAGATGTCTATGCTGCTGGCAGCAGATCCTAACAGTTTCTAAAACTCTTCATAAGAAGCTTTCTAACACATTGATATCAGCATTGACTCTTCTTTGTGTTGGATTTCAACTCTTAAACCTAATCCTGTAAAGGCGACCCATACTTGCTGCCTTGAGTAAGCTGCATGTAGCCGGCTCCCCTTTCTTCAGAAGTCCAACTTTTCAATTAGATTGCTTCACATTGTTCCATCTTTGAAAATCCACAAATTTTCTATAACTTTTATTCCTGCTCTTGGGTGCCATCTTTATCCTACTCTTTATTTGCGGGAATATTTGTGATTGAGAACTTGGAAGATGCCTGCTTACCTGGATGAGAAGCTACTTACCAGAAGGACTGGGACGGAAATCTTGTATTTCTATTAAAGATGTTCCTGTTAACTAGGAGGACGAATCAGCTTCTTCTGTCCATCCTTCTTCTTCCTATAGATTATTTATGTTATGATGGTTTTCTTAGAAAGAAGAGACTTCTCTGGTCCCCTCTCTTGTACTCACATCACCTTCTGCCATTTGTGACCAAGCTCTGCACTGGTGGCAACCTAAAACTAGAGGTACACTATTTTTCATTTGATTTATACCAAATTAAAATGATGAGCAAAACATTCCCCATAAAAGTAAAAAATTTTATTAAATGACAAATTAAATTATTTATTTTTCAAAATTCTTTTAAAGACGTTCTTAGTGTCTGTCTGTGTTAAAAATTTGAATCATATCTTACTACATTTGCTTTCCTCCTGCGAACTTCCAAAAGCTTTATTTTGCTCCTGTTCATGTGGGCACATAAAGCACATCTTTGTTTTTAATTTAAGTTTAATTGCAGAGAAGCAATAAAACCCTGAACCAATCAAACCTACACTACAGTATATACAATAAAACATGAGTAGGAAAGCTCGCTTTTTCATTGAAATAGCTTCTTTTTTTTTTGTTGCCACAATTCAACACAATTTCAATGATGATATTGTACATATGTCTTCATGTTTAACTCCAAAATACTTTGGTATGTTGAGGAATTCGCTGTAAATAACAGTTCCTGCTCTTTCCAAATGGGCCCATGGCATCACCCCTCCACCTCTGTGCTTGATAGTATCACGAGGAACCTTTTCTATGATTATTCTGTCATGACCTTTAACATCAAACATGCTAGTTGGAGGCTACAGAATCTGACATTAGGTCTTAGTTTCACCAGAGCAGCCTGTAGTCTCTGATATGTGCTTGACATCTTTTATTTGTTTTTATTAAAGTCAGTCTTTACAGCTTTTTCAGGGCGTGGGATCACAGAGATGTCTCTGTAGTCAGCTTTCTCCATCAACATGGATGCTTTGAGGCCGGTGAAATTTAGCCCTGGCTCCACAACATCCACAAGCCACTTGTGGGTGTTGTGGAGCAGAGCCACAGGTGGGCTGAGCTGTTTGAAGCCATTAACTGCTGATGTAGCGAGCGCTGTAGGTCTTCTTTGGCGCAGCAGTAATAATCATTATAATGATGGGGGTAATTTATGGAGCAGGGTGTGAGATGCCGGAGTAAATGCAGGTCTCTGTTACAATCAGGCAGAGAGCAGCTGTGGCATTTTTCCTCGTCCTCCCTGATGACTGCGATGAGTCTATCTGGAAGATCAGCAGGTTTATCTGGACTTTCTCAGGGTTTTTATTATGGGACAATGAAACGAAAAAAACGCAAACAACAAATGTTCCTATGTTCCTAGCACAACAACCTTTCAGCAAAAAAAAATGTCTGTTTTATCCATTCAGATGTTCCTTCTTTTGTTCAGTTATCCATCCGTCAAATTGTTCATCCATCCTTCCTTCCATCTGTTAGTCAATCCATCCAGGCTTTGATCAAGTTGTTCTTTCATCTATTCATTCACCCTTTCATCTTGCAGTGCATAATTAATTTTCACTCTTATTCACCAAACCGTCCAGCCATCCTCCACCAATCGATCTGTCCACCTTTCCCTTCTATTGGAAATAGATCTAACTCTTCCTTGAGGTGAGAACCCCCCTCCCAGTTTGAGGAGCTTTAGATAGAGCTTTCCTGACCTCCGTTTTTCCCTTTGACCTCCATCGACTCATCTGATGGGACCATTGATAAGCTCCAAGGGCATGTCCATCCACCCTCTGGAGGAAGCTTATCTGACCTGTTGGTATTGGCATTTATCTCTGTCACTACCTACAGTACAGCCAGAAGGGTCTGAAGAATTGCTTCCCCATCCACCTCACTAGGTTATCTGCATCACACAGACGGTCCAGTCTGGTTTTGTTCGTCTCTCTTCACTCATTAAGGTCTGAACCTTCAGAGATATCTCTTCAAGAGGAACAAGCACTAATGTTTGTGATACATTGTTCATGTAAAACATCAAACATCAACGTGAGGAGTAGTTTAAGAGTGTCTGTTTGAAATAAAGCTGCTCGCAGTATCTATCGTGGGAGTGGACTTTTGACAGAATCCTGATGAGCTACAGAGGCACATAAAGGCAGTTACAAGGTCAGCCTTTTATCACCTGAAAAACATCCCCAGCATTAAAGGACTAATGTCCAAGCAGGATCCAGAAAAATTCATTCATGCATTTATCTTTAGTAGAATTGATTACAGCAACAGTGTCTTCATAGGTTTGTCTAAAAAGTCCATCAGATAGCTGCAGCTGATCAAACACTCTGCTGCCCGTGTTCTCACTAGAACATCAGCCCGGTTCTGAAATCCTTCCACTGGCTCCCTGTAGCTCAGAGAAAATACTCTAAAATCCTTCTGTTTTAATATAAATCAATGAATGGATCCGAACCTCAATCCATAACAGATCTGTTGTCTGTGTATCGACCTCCCAGACCACTCAGGTCTTCTAGTTCCAGCCTACTCTGTTCACCCAGAACTAAAACCAAACATGGAGAAGCAGCATTTAGTTCCTATGCTCCACTGATGCATTCAGGGCCGCTGGAAGTAATAATAAACAGGGTGTGCTGTGAAAATGTGTTTTGTTTTTTTTGGACAAAAGACCTATGAGCCTAGAGGCCTATTTAAAATAAAATAAAATAAAAATTATAATAATTAGATTGAGATTAACTACTTTATTGTCATATACACTTCAGTGTACAGTACGCAACCAGGGTCTGTAACACACAGACATCATTCATCACATTAATCAGTTCTCAGGTGACTATATGCGCTATTAATTAAACTTCACAATAAAGAACTTTTCATTGGCTTGAAGCCAATTTGAAAAGTCGGCATTCACGGTGGGGGTTATCTTTCTTAAATTTGTCTCTAGGAATGACTTTTTTTTCTGACTGCTTTCTGATGAACAAAACACAAAATATTATCAGTCTCTTCCACATAATGTAGCCACTGCAAACCTAGCAAACCGGTCCCACAGTACGTGAGGACATTTCATTACCACAACGCATGCAGGAAATTTGTACATTTACTTGTCTGCTGCCGCGAGCGGAATACCTCGGCAACAGCTAGCTTGCTCGACGTTGCAAACGTAACTTTCTTGAACTTGTGTTGCCTAGGCCTCAAAATAATATAATTAAAATCCAAATACACGCAAAAATATTTTCATATATTTATAAGAAATGTATAAATTGTGCAAAGTATTTTTAATGCATTTTTCAAAAAGTCTCCCTCTCACCACTAGGGGGTGCTGCAGCACCCCCAGCCCCTTCCACTTCCCGCCGCCTTGCCTGCAGTTACTGACCTCTGTAACCACAGGAAGAAACCTTTTTGTTCCAGAGACAAGTTGGTGAGCAGGTTTGAAGTGGGGTCTGGGCAACGAGTGGCTCATTACAGCCAATATAAGCTCCTGCTGTGGAAGGATGCAGCTGAGTTGTATGAAGAACAGGTTTGGTGAAAAGAACTCCAGAAGCTTCATTTCCCCCAACCAGTTTGGCCCTTAAGCAGTCTTTCTTTGATCAGTGGTTCAGGGTGAATTCCCTGATTAGATGGACTGCAAGGTGCCTCGCCTGGACCAGAAGAACCAGAATCTGAAGTCAACTGTTAAAAAAAAGTTGCTTTTTGTACATTAAAATACTCCACCCCTACAGTTATTAATGCAAAACCAGCAGATGTTGGATAGTTTGGACATGCTATGTAACAAAATACATATTTGATTTCTCATCAGATTGGTCAAGACATAGATTTTTAGGTGATCATACATTATTTATAAATTCATAACTTTAACATATAGTACTGTTTACTTTACTTACCCATGTCACAAAAGCTCGTTTTTGCACAGAGCCCCCTTGCTGAACCCGTTGCTGTGGAGCTGGTCTCTTCAGTGTCTGGTGAAAATTTCAGTTTTGAAACATGCACGTTGCTTTGCTGCGCTTAGGCGCTGTTACGCCTCCACTGTATTTACTTCTTTTAGGCATCATTTCGCAACAAAAAAGCACATGGATGGTCTAACCGGCACGACAGCCTTCCAAAAAAGAGCTCCTATAAACAAAAGTTATCAAATGTAATTAACGGCTGAAGCTCTCTTTCTAAGGTGAGCTGTGTCTGTACAAAAATTTATTCTAGACAACATTATTAGTCCTAATTTGCCGATAAGAGCATCAGGAGGTCCCTACGCTAAAGGAACAATGATAGGCACCTTCCTTAGGAGCAGCGCTATTCGGAATTCATTATGGCGACCGCTGACACACTTCTGCTTTGGCTTAAGTGGCCTTACCAAGTTGCTTAATGGGATGGACCCACAGAGGTCAAAGCAGTCATGACTGATGGATCATGTATGGAAGGGCCGGTGCAACTTGGATTTAGAGTCAGATAGAGGCCTTGGTGGTCTGTTCTCTGGTTGTTTAGTCGGATGTATTCTTTTACAACATCTACTTTTCAAAACTTGATCATCTGTCTTTGTTTTTATTTTTCTTATGATATATTTTTGCATAAAATGCTCTCTGTGTGACTGCAGGAACTCATCATGTTTCTGCTGTGGATCTCCATGCTGGTAGCTGCTTTCAGCGGTGAGTTCCTTTCCCAAGAGCTTCATCACTGAGCCTCCTCCTCTCTCTTCCATGATGGTTTCCTATAATTACACTAATTACACAATGATTTATCAGTTAACAACCGATGTGTTAAATGTTGCATGCATGAATTAAATCAGCTTTTTACTCTGTTTTTCCCCACAGGGCTTTCTGGCAGCTCCTTGTTTTGTCCGAACCCAGAGGACAGCAGCCAGAACGCTGCTCATGTAATTGGTGAGATTCATGTCTTTTTTTGATCTTTTTCTTTTTTCAACTTTTAAACTTCAGGCATCTTGACGGTCACAACACAGAGTGCTTGGAAGAATTTTAATTAATGACTCAAATTAAAGGTTGCTGGTTCACTGGGTCGAGAGGATGAGTCTATGTGATGCTGGATCAAAGCCTGCAGGAAGCAAACTGTTTTCTTTGGGGAATCTGGTATAAACTAGTTTAATTAGTGGGTTTTTGTGTTTATGAAGCAAAAGCCTTTTAATTTCAAACCAAAGAAAAGTTTATTAGATGGTGTTGGTTATTATGTGAACTTGTGTCAAGCTCTGTTGTGAGCTATAGCTCATTGTTCCAATGCATGAAACACATAGAATCTTTACTACAGCAGTAAGCATTGGAGATGGTTTTCCTCACATCCAACTTACAGTTTGATGTGTCCCAGCTCCACTTGTTTATTTACCCATCACTCAAACTGTAAATATAGGCAACTTTAGGCCTTTTCTTGTAGCCATTTCCCTAATGACTGAGGTTCAACATAAAACTCACAACTTAAACAGTTCCTCCTCTACTCTCCCATTTTTCAGATGTTACATGATAGTTTAAGCAATCAGAAATTCATTGACTATTTATTTAGTGTCAGGCGATATGTATGAAAAAAAAAAACTGTAAATGAAAAGTTTCAAAATATCTTTTAGTTTAATTTAATCTCATCCAGGAGGGGTGTGTCCTGCAAGTCAATGACTGGATGCAATCAGCTAGTTTTCCTATCTTTCAATATGAACTTATTGAACTGTCTCCATTAAGTGCCTTGAAAGGATTTGTGCTGTGAATTAGCAAGTTTAAAAATAAATGTTTGACAGTAATTTTGTCATCACATATATTTAGTAAGAAACTTTTTTTCTAAATAAACTAAATGGAATTGATTTGCCCTCCTGGAACCAGCGAACAGGGTAATTAATAATTAAATTTCACTGTTAAAGCTGTAAGTCAGATAAAAATCTAATGAAAGGTTAATTTTTTATGTAATCAAGTCCATCCTCTTGCTTTGTCAGATTGTCTGGGTCCGCGCTTCACCTGGCTCAACGCTGTCTTCGATAATTTCCCCCTGCTGCTGAGCTTTGTTTCTAAGCTGCGGTGTACATCAGGGGTTTGTCCCCGGGACCTGGAGGATTACGGCTGTTCCTGCAAATATGTGGCGTCTGGGAACCCTGTGGATCCTCTGGACACGTAAGAAGGGCCCAGATTAACTCAAAAGGCTTGTTAAATCCACAATTTATTAATCCTAGGTAGAAGTGAAGCACACATTTTACTGCTTATTTTAAATATTTTTTTCATGATGTTGAAGTTAGCAACGTTACGACAGCTGTTTAAGACATGCAAAGTTTTCTGTAGATTTTACCTGATATCTCCTCTTTCAGGAATTTCCTTGTTTGCCCTTAATTTTCTAATCTTTGATTTTACTCCCTTCAGCTGCTGCGCCATTCACAGACAGTGTTACCAGGATGCTGCCCCCTGCAGGCAGCAGCTGCCTCTGCCGCCTTATAACTTCAGCTGCTCTGCAGCAAACAGCAGCTGTGGTGAGTCTCAAACTAAATGCAATCCCTACAGATGCTGCAGGAGTGCGTGGGTTTACAGAACCTTATTTCTCTCCTGCAGAATTTGATGACCTGTGCCAGCAGAGGTTTTGTGAATGTGACCAAGCTGCCATCCACTGCGTGACTCAGAGCCCCTTCAACTCAACTCTGAGGGGCCTTGCAGAGTCGTTCTGCTCTGCTGGAGCTGTTACAGGTGGCTTTTACTTCTAGGCCTTTTTTAACCCCAAAAAAATGTTTTCCTTTTAGTTTTACAGTGAACTAATTGGAGGCATATACAATGCCCTAACTGGAAAATCAACAGTTACACTTAAAATTTTTTATCTTTTACTGATAATCATATCAGATAGTACAGACTCAGAAAAAAACGTACACCTCTACAAATATTAGGGGGGATGTTTCTTAGCAGTTTATTTGGTTATTTGTCATTTTCATTTGACCACATTTTCCCCGATAAAAATCAACCAAGCTTGTATTTGCCAGGGTTTAGTTGAGGTTTTGAGGCCCCAAATGCAGAGGCCAGGAGGCAGAGGTGAGTTCTTGTAGTTTTAATGGAGATCTCACAGGCAACAGAAGCAGGAATCCAAAAATCCAACATAAAAATACAAACCAGAGCCATGGAGACATCAGGGAAAACATGCATGAGGAGCCAGGGGAACATGAGGAACCAGCACGGAGGAACTGCACAGGGAGAGTACTTATGGGGGACTGAACACAGACAAGACTAATGAGCTGATTAGGAGCAGGTGTGAACAGAGGATTCTAGAAGGAGCTAGGGAAGAGACCAACACCAGAGAGGAACAGGGGGCAAGCAAAGACAGACCTAAGAACTCAAAATATACCCAGAAAACACCAATAAGGCTAGAAAACAAGGAAAAACATGGATCAACGTGACATTGAAAACTCACAGAAAACTTAACAGAACCAAGACTGTGACAGTATTTCAAAAACATTCAACTCACTGCCAGTGGTGCCTAGATTGGTTACAGGCCCTATCCATCTCGAAACCAGCTTTGTGTTTTGAGATCACTGGCCTCATTGATCCCCAAATGAATTCTACCATCTAGCTAATGATTTTAGGTGAAAGGAAAGAGTTTATGGATGTTTTTATAACTCTTTACAGTTTCTCTTAATACAATCTTTGGTATGTGTAGAATCTGTATCACTCAGACTTTTTGGGATGGAATTTGCCAAATTGGCTCAATCAAGAACGGTGACAGTTCGAGATAAACTCTCTTTAACTCTTGAAGGTGTAAAAGGATGCGTCTCCAGAGGATAATGTTGCTGTCGCTGTGCTTTATAGTTGATACAGCGTCTAGGGCTTAAAAGCTTCAACTTCTGTCTGACAATTAAGCTTTATTTCTAAGTGAACAGCTGCCTATGTTTTGCTTTGCATCTTCTCAGCTGATGTCGGTCTAAGACTTTCCTCACTTTAGAAGGTGACCTTGCTAATCCAGATGTTTCCAGTGCATTCAGCTGGTCAGGGTTCGAAACCAACTTTGTTTTGACAATTTTTCCTTCAGACTCTCTTGGACTCTATTTATTTTTCTAAATATGTGTCAACCCAGTAAGTGCTGTCACAATCAAAACCTTCCAATGCCAACAGCAACTAGCAGCTGCACTCCACCAGATTGGTTGATGAGTGGATTGTAAAGCTTTATCTACTTAGATAAATGACTGAGCTTTGGTGCTGCTGCTTTCAAGAAAGGAAATTTTCTCAGTTCTGGTTCTGTTAATTGCTGGTAGAGCTTCATTAGGAGTTAATCTCTTAGTCACATCATCTTCTTCTCCAAACGATCCGGGTTAGAGACTAATTGGCTAGTAAGATCTCTCATTTGTTTGGTATTGCATCTTAAATGGAGCAGGTGAGTCTGAGACAGGAAGTAGTCCTCATGCTGCCCGCGTCACGCTTGAAGAGGGTCGGCAGAGTCGGATTGCAGGAAGCGGCTGACTCACACCTCAGCCAATTAAAACAATGACCTCCTGACGTTCAGTCCTGCTGCTTCTCGCCCACGTTCATCTGGGAACTGGAAATTCATTGATTTTTACTGAGCTGCTTTGATCCACAAGTGTCTAAATATAGCTGTAAGAAGGGGCTGAGGGGAGCTGGAGGAGTTGAAGTGGAGGTTATTAAAGTAGAGAAGTCAACTTCACAGAGGAAAGTTAGTGAAGCCTGCTGGAGGTCTTTAGGATGCTTCAAATTGAGTTTTTCTCCATGAATACTGATGCCAGCGTCCTCTGTTTGAACCAAGCCCAGCACATGGTGATTGTTCCATCACTGAAGGACAACCTTGGTTTTAAAAAACCTCTGTTAATGTAGAACTGTTGGGTGTTTTTCTGTGCAGACAGTAACTGTCCTCGTCCTTCCTCTTTCCAGATGTTCTCACAGCAGCTAACGACTCTGCAGCACATCAGCTCCCTCACTCCTCCCTGCTGTCTGCAGGTAAAAATCCAATTTTACGAAATAAAGTTTTGGACTCTTTAGTCTTTAAACGGGGAATAATGAATAATTCTAAAAGCACAGCATTTCTGAAGGATTTCAATAAATGAGCTGAGTACTTTAAATGTGACTGATCCATATAGGCAATGTTTATACACCTGATGATATTCAAATTATTTGTTGTATTCATTTAACGAATGGTTGTTGGTATGGCTAAAAGTGAGAGAAATCTACATAATGTCTTAAAAAAAAAGTTATAATCTTTAGTTTAACATTTTAGTTTTCTGCAGATCTTTTATTATTTACATATTTGTAAAAAAAAAAGAAAAAAAAGAAAAAAAAGAAAAACAACAACACAGAGTTAATATGACTTAAATAATCTCTATAACCCACTATTGAATAAGACAGACCATTTAATCTCAGGGGGTCAAAGGCAACCTCTCTCTGATATACTTTCAAGGCTTTCTTAAGAGGTGATTTCTAATTTTTACAGGATTAGGTTTATTTTGTCAGATTAACATGATACTTTCTAGCACTTACAGTATATAACAGTATGTCACTGTAGTAAAAACCTAGAGGTTACTTTCCTATATCTTCAAGTTTATTTTTATTAATTAATATGCATCATTAAATGTATTTATTAATGTTTTTTATTTTACAGGACTTACAGGGTCCTGCTCTAAAACTTAAAGGTTACTGTTTAGAAACCTGATCTGTTTTTTTTTTCATATCTTTTCCAGTTCCATGGAAAATTATCATTACTTACTGTCTACTTCCCAGGTTTATTACAATGATTTCTGGTTAGTTTATAAAATAAAACACAAAAAAAAACTAATAAGAAAAAAAGTAAATAAATAAAATAAACATATAAATTTAAAGTTCTTTTTTCAGGATCAAATATGCTCTCTGACTGTTATATTTTGATAATCAACCTACTGGACTATTCTGGTTAATTCGTTAATTAAAGCAGGCCTCCCCAAAGTCAGTCCTCGAGGGCCGCTGTCCTGCAGGTTTTAGAGGTTTCTCTGCTTTAGCACAGCTGATTCTGATTATTATTGCAGTTTTGCTGAACTACAATAATCAGAATCAGTTGTGCTAAAGCAGAGAAACCTAAAAGACCTGCAGGATAGCAGCCCTCGAGGACCGACTTTGGGGATGCCTGAATTAGAAGTTCTTGAACTTTCTTTTTATGGAACTAAATGATCAGATTTTGAGGTTCTATTTTTCAACTTACATCAACTTTGTCAAACTTATTTGTTACATTCAAAGAAATATCATGCTACCTTATGGAACTTTTTTATTTCTTTATTAGAATTTGCAGATTTTCTAAGCTACAGACTTTCTAAAACTTAAAGATTATATTTTGAGATTCAACAAAAAAACCTTCAGGAATGTTGAGGGTGTGTTTCTCAAAATCTTAAAGGTTACAGAACTTTTTAAAGGTTACTTTCTGGAACTTGCAGAGCAAACCCATGGTACCTTTTTTTTAAACTTACAGGCAGCATTTTTACTCTTCACAGCTTAGTTTCTGAAACTTTCTCAGCAGAGTCTTTTCCTAGAACATCTGGGTATTTTCTCAAGCTTATAGAATACTAATCCAGAAATATTAAAGGAAACCACAGACTCAGCTGTGGTAATAATAGTAAAAACATAAAACATGTCATGGGTTTCTTTCTATTATTGTGTGTTAGAAATCAACTTGTTTTGATTTAGGCTATCTCTGATGCTGCAGATTATGGGCCCAGATATCTAAAAGTTATTTTTTATAAAACTTGTTTAATTCATATCTTATTACAGTAGCTTATTACAACTTTATTTTGAATTTGATATCAGCATGAAAGCGAAGGTAGTGACGCTGGGAGTTGGTGAAAAGTTATCTGGCTGAGATAGACAATGACCCATAACTGTACCGTCATCCTGGTACGATCAAAGATGCAGGATTGCCTCTCAGTCAACCAATGTCTACTTTAGTAACACAGCTTCTAACTCTTTCAGCATAAAAAAGAAGCTCCAAACAGAATCAACTCATTTCAGATATCAAATGAACCATGTCAACATTCAGGTTTCTGGTTCTGATCTGAAATCTGATAGATGCGGTTTGTCTTTTAGAGGAGCTTGAAGAAGGCGCAGGGGAGGGAAACCAAGAAGAGACGAAACACCACAGCTTGATCTTTAGAGGTAGCCATTTTAATCTACTTTCGTTTTTCTTTTTTTTTATTTCTCTGGAAATCGATCTTTTCCCTCAGCTATTTGGGGCCAATGGTACCACAGCTTTCATGGCACCAGAAATGATTTCTCAGCTGTTGGCTCTTCCCTCTGAATGACTCACTTGGCTCAGAGGTTTCCTGTCGCTGCATCTACAGATCTGAATGAGGAAGCAGGCGAGTGGGAGGATGTAGCTGAGGATCAGACGACCCAAAGTCCTGCAGAACTCAGCCCTGGTGAGCCAGAAAAGGCAGATTCTCTCAGTCACGACAGGAAGTTATATGAATACATTTCTAATAAGGAGCATCGAATCATCCAATGAGGTGTTCACCAGAGGAACCTTCCAGGTTGAGCTATAGTGACATGAACAGACATGGAGACACAGAAAAAAGAAGAGACAATTAAAAATAGAAATA